TCCCTGGGACCAATCACCGCCAGATGTGTGGACCCTGGCATGGGTACTCTTCGTGCTGAGGGTTGGAGAGTGCCCCGTTTCAATACAGAAAGCTTACCAGCTTTTTATCTCCACTGTGGGTGCTGCAATCCCCGTTGCTCCATCCTCCTTCCACTCCTCTTGTTATTCTCATATTAAGCATCACCCTTCATCAGCGCTGCCATCCTGATGTTAACCTTCCTGTCCAGCCCTCCGTGGATGGTGACACCAACTCTTCCTTGTTCCCCCTTCCATCTGCACAGATGAAACCTCCATCTCTTCCCGACACTGCAGGTCCAGTGAAGCTATTCTTTGTGATATTCTCTAACGAATGAAGCTGAGTTGGTTTTCACTTCCCTGCTCTCTTCCCCCTCCACCCGCAGCACAAAGCTTGGTGCCCGCAGTGCTGCCCTTTGGCTGCTCTGCAGGGACAGTCCCTGGAGACATCCGCGTCCCTGTAGACCTGTCTGTCTCAAGACTGTTCCTCTGCATGTCCATCACCAGTGCTCATCCATCTACGGCTCAGCGCCTCTTGGCTGCAATCCAGCTCCTCTGGCTTCAGGTATCTGCAGCGCGGGCTGCAAGCCTGGTTGTCTGGGTTTCCAGCCTGTACACGCAGATCCAGCTGTGCATGTGGAGGAGCCTCAGATGAGGCTCACCTGGCCAGAGGCATCTGTCCTCATTGGGATGTGATGATTTGAACCTTGGCTGCAGGCAGACATCCCATCCCTTCTCTTCTTGCTTTCCCATCATCTCTGGACATCAAAAAGCCTGTTCTTTTTCTCCCACCAGCTTGTGCTGGCTGCTCTTCTTCCTCAGCAGCTCCAGTGCAGACTTTCTACTACCGAGACAGCAGCTCGTCTCACCTTGGGGCTGGCTACAAGGTTAGCTCTAAGCTATGCAGGCTACACGTGTGCTTAGAAAAGCAAAGCATCACTGAGACTGAACACAGATCCACCTTGGAACACGCTATTTGCTCATGTAGACCAGATCTAGCCTGGCCCATCTTGCACCTTGCTCCCTGAGTGATGGCAAAGGGCTGGAAAAAATCAAGCAGCCCCCCCCTTGCTGATCTGTTCCCCACATATGTTCCTCTGCCCTAGGCTTCTGCGTGCCGCGATCCTACCCCTCAAACGCTTCTATGGCATCAAGATGCAGGTGTGGGGCTCTGAGCATCTGAACATCAAGGAGCCTTATGTGATAGTTTGCAACCACCAAGCTTCTCTTGACCTCATGGGTATGTGCAAGGGAGGGCGGGGGGCTCATCACTGCATGGGCAGCCTTTGGGGTGCTGCAGGGGTGGACCAGGCTCACCTTGGGGGGGTCCCAGCAAGGCCAGCAGCAGAATTTGTACAGGGCAATGTGTACCTGTAAATCTGTAGGCCAGAAGAGCTGGTGGGACAGGAGCTCAGGATGATGGGTGTGCTGCAGAGAGAGGGTTGGGACAATGGAAGATGATGCCAGGTCACTACAGCCACAGGGCTGGTTGGTTCTGGGTGCCGCTGGGCAGGGATGGATCCTTTCCTCTCCCATCCGTCCTCCAGGCATGGTGGAGGTCATTCCTGACCGCTGTGTGCCCATCGCCAAGAAGGAGATCATGTACATGGGCACCGTGGGGTGGGCCTGCTGGCTCAGTGGCATCATCTTCATCGACCGCCACAAAAGAGAAGATGCAATCAATGTCATCTCCCAGACGGCCAGGATCATGCGGCGTGAAAATGTGAGGGGGGGGGCTGGCAGCAGGGGGGAGTCGGGGAGCAAACACCGATGGGGCAAGGGGGGTGTGGGGAGGACTGACGTGGCAGATCCCAGGGTGCTCTGGTTGGGGGTCCATGCTCACATCTCTCCCTGTCCCGTACAGCTCCGAGTGTTGATTTTCCCTGAAGGCACCAGGAACCAGGACAAATCCATGCTGCCCTTCAAGCGTGGGGCTTTCCACTTGGCTGTTCAGGCTCAGGTAAGGCCATCCTCTCCCTCCACTTGCCCTTGATGGAGTGGGGTGGGCATGCACCCTGGGGCAGTGGGATGGGGGTCATTAGGGTCTTTTGGGGTCTGCAGGGACAGGCACCCTGCCTTGCAGGACCCAGGGAGGGGATGGGGAACTGCTGAAGCCTGGGGCACGGCAGGAGCTGGAGTCCCACCTGGGGAGGGGGTCTATATGGAGGACACCCCTGACCCTCCATCTCCTACAGGTTCCCATTTTCCCCGTTGTGATCTCCCCATACTGGGACTTCTTCAGCTCCAAGGATAAGAAATTCACCTCTGGTAAGTGACAGGCAAGAAGCCCAGTTGCTGTAAGGCAGGGCTGGCAGTGGGGATGAGGCAGGTGGGGCTTGGAGGTCTCTTTGTGGGACACTGAGGTGTGGGGAGGCAGCTGGTGGTGGAGGATGCCGGTGGGAAGACCTGGTTCCTGGTGGGTTCGTCTAACAGCATCCCTGGCCCTTCCCTTCTCTCTCCAGGGACGTGCACCATCCGAATCCTCCCCAAGGTAGAAACCCAGGGCCTGAGCCCAAAGGATGTCCCCAAACTGACAGAGACTGTCCGCCAGGCCATGGCTGATGCCCTCGCTGAGATGTCCGCAAATCACTGTGGGGACCAGCATGCTGAGCAGCCTCCGCTCCCACGCTGTGCTGGGGCCGGTGCTGGCAGGGGGCCGGGCAGCCCGCAGTGTGAGAAAGACACAACCGGGACCAGCAATTAGGCAGAGGGACCGAACCGCTGGGGATGTAAGGGAGGTGGCACAGCCAGAGGCTGGGCCGTGCTGTCCCCTTGTCCCCTGCGGTTGTGTCCACCAGACCTGCCACCACCCGAGCAGCCTGCGAGAGCAGGACGGTGCCCTGGTGCAAGGGGAAGCAGAGCAGTGCAGGGATCCGTCAGCACCCTGAAAACAGTGCAAGGTGTCCCCAAAACCCCCTTACTGTGACTGTGCATCCCCTCCCCAGGGCATTACCCGTCTCCCCGAATCCTGGCGCTGTGTCTGGCCCTGGGTAGGAAGCTGCATCTGCCTGGATGGCTCCTGCCTGCACACTGGGCAGGGGTAAGAGATGTGCCAGGCAGGGCTGGGGGTTCGCTGCAGCATTTTCCACCCCTGACGGTATGACTTGCAGTGGGGTTCACCCATGGGCTTGCTGGGTTGCTTCTACCAGAGGCTCCTGCAAGCTGGCAATGCTGTTCAGATGCAGCCAGCTCTGGGGAAGGGTCCAGAGCACGGCGTGTGGCTTGGAGGGGGGCAGGAGGATATTGCCACATGGGAAGAACATCCTTGATGCTGAACTATGAGACAAGGGTGCAAGATTAAACAGTTCATACCTGGTGGTATGCGTGCATGGTGTCCTCCCTGTGCCTTGGGTGCTATGGGGAGCACGGGGAGGGCGATCCGTCTCCGCACGGTCATGCTGGGTGCCTGCATCACTGCACATGGAGCATCCCTATGGACACCACAGCTTCTCCATGGGGTGCAGCGCTAGATGGTGTGAGGAGCAATGTGGCATGGTGAGAGTTACACTGGGGTGGACTAGGTCTGCCCCCAAGGTAGACCTCTCCCTACCTTAGGGACAAGCAGTAAGTGCACAGAAAGAGCATCCATTACAGCCCAAAACCCTCAGAGGGCAGAGGTGCCTGGATTATGCCCACCTGGAGCAGGAGAGACCTGCCCATGGCTTCCAGACCATGGCACAACCAGACCCATCCACTAGCTACCATCTCCCCTGGCCTGTTCCCTGCAGCCAGGCAGGGCTTTGGGCTTCTGCTGGCTCCTTCCCAGCCGGGCAGCTCCTGTCCTACCTAGCCCAGGGTGACAGTAGGGCAGGGAGAAATGCAGTGCATGGTTGTCCCCAGTGCTGGGAGCAGGGTGGGCAGGCTTCACCTCCCAACTTCAAATAAGATGTGCAAACCATGGCCAAACATGGGTGCAGCACTCCAGTTTGGCATTGTTCCCACTCTCAGGAGCGGCTGGCTCATTATGGAGTAAATTCTGCAAAACTGTGGCAATTGTCCGCCCAGACAGATACCACTAGGCAAAGTATTATCAAGGCTTCTTGTGAGTTATGACTTACTGGATCAGGAACTGTCAGGTGGAGATGGTCAAGGGCAGCGTGCACATGAAGGAACTCATCTGCCAGAAAGCCCCTTTATTCCCTTCCTTCCTGCCAGGGTTCCCTATGTGCAGCTTAATTTGTCAGCTCTGAGCTGGCTTGGCGCTCCCACCACGTGCCCACCACCGTAGGTGTGGTTTAGTTGCCCAGAGCCTTGAACCCAGCAAAGCTTGGGTCTTGTGGTTAAACATTGTCCTAGCTGGATGGCTAGGTCCCAGCCAGGGACCTCGCTGGCTTTTGCTTGCTGCCAGCGGGGAGGTGAAACTTTGAGGAGAGGAAGAAGACCCAGTGCAGGGGCTCTAGGACCACCTTGCTTCCACGTGGACCCCCAAGCATGGGGTCTGCAGCTGCCCTGCCTTGCCTGCTACTTTGCATCCTATACGTCACAGCTGGAGCATCTGCAAAGCCGTAAGCCCTCTCTGTGTCTGCCTGTCCGTGCCTGGTGGGATGGTGGTTGGTCTCAGTGGTGTGACAAACCTTGCCGTGACTGCCGGTCGCTGGTTGGGGTGGAAATGCTTGGGGTGGTGGGTTGCCCCATAGAGGACTTTGCACCTGAGGTTGGTGTCTCCAGGCTGCTTTGGTGTAGATGCAACCTCACACACGAGCCAGTGGGTGAGCAGAGCCCTTCCTCCTTCTGCCGATCGACCCCTCGGCTCCTTCCCAAGGTGTTTGAGCAAAGGGGGCTCTGCTCCGGTCTGTGCACTGGCCAGCCTGCCTGGGCAGACGTGGGGGAAAGTCTGGGTGGCATAGCCCTGCAGAGAGCGTCCAGGGCTGGAAAAACCCAAGTGGCCCCCAACTTGAGAGTCTGGAGTGGAGGGGAGCACTGGGATTTGGTGGGGGGGTCCCCACTCTCCTCCACTGTCAAAGTGTCTCCTCCCCAGGCACTACATGGTGTTATTCCCCGCCGTGCTCTACTACCCATACACAGGCAAGGTGCACATCCACCTCATGGACCTGGACGAGCCCGTGCGGGTGACCCTCCACCTGGCAAGCAGCCACGGCGTCCCCAATGTTACCCTGGAGGAGCAGGGCAGTGATATCCTCCAGCTGAACTGGCCCTGCTTCTCCAACGTGAGTCATGGCCCCACAGCAGGGCTCAGGACCTAGGGAAGGGGTGTATCCATCCCCTACGCACTGCCGGAGCTAGGCTGGGGAAACTGGGAAGGGACATGGGGTCCATGCTGGATGGGCAACGAGTGAGGTGAAGAGTGGAGGGACATGCGGCATGTACAGAGACCTTGTGGGTTGTGTCTGCGTCATCTTCCCATGCACACAAGTTCCCTGGTGCCTTCATGGGGCGATGGGGTCGTGACGATGGGGACGGGTATGATGTCTCACTGGCATTCAACGTAAAGGCTTTGCAACTATTTCTGCTCTTTCCCTGGGGCCAGATTTCTACCCCTCCTGCAAGGATCTATGAGGTCGCGCATCTTCACGTCTCCATCCAGGGAGGTTCCCTGCAGGTCTCTGAGCAGAAGAAAGTCCTGGTGAAAGGCCTGGAGCTGGGGACCTTGGTGCAGACAGACAAGGATGTCTACAAGCCTGGACAAACCGGTGAGGGGCAGGAGCTGCTGGAAGAGCTCGCAGGCTCTTGGGATGGAATCCCCAAGTTTGGGTCCCAGGCCCTAGCGCTCACTCCTGCTCCTGCCTTTGCTCTCTCCAGTGAAGTTTCGAATTGTCCATTTGGATCAAAACTTCATTCCCAGCAACAGGGAGGTGAGATGGGGTCAGGGTGCAGGGGGGGTACGGAGGCAATAGGATCCCCACGTGCCCAAGATGATCGGTCTTGGCAGCAGTGACACAGCCTTCACGAGCATGGAGGAGATGGGTGTGGGGAGGGAATCCCCCAAACACCAAAGGGACACGGGATGGGGGGGGACGGGACACAGCTCTTCCCAGCACTCCCAGCCTGAGTGTCCAGGGTGCAGCCCCTTGCTTTTAGCACTGGCACAAGAGGTGCAATATTCCCTTCTTCTCTCCTGTGTAGCTTTTATGCACCATTATAACACGGCTGGTTTTAGACTCCTGTTGCCACAGGGTGCTGGCAGGCCCAATTCCACAGCTAACGTTGTTTCCACTATGCAGCCTCGCTGCTCGCTTCCCGCTGCTTGGAAAAGGCAGCGCCACGGCTGTGGACGTGGCAGTGGGAGCCAGGCAATGACAGTGGCTCTGAGCCCTGCCGAGCCCCCAGCCCAGCAACTGGATCTGTAGGGACCAAGCCAGACCCCACAGGCTCAGCCCCAGCTCAGCTACAAGCTCAGCCCTCTGTGCTTTGATCATGCTAAACTCCTCTTCTTTCTTTCTTTGCAGCTTCCCTTGGTGGCCGTGCAGGTGAGTTGTCGCCCTGTACCAGCCTGTCAGCACCTTCAGGAGGAGCAAAGGGCCCCAGCACGTGTGTGATGCTGGGGACACGGAGCAAGGGACAGGGACATCCCTGATGCGGGTGCTGAGAGAAGTTACGAGGAGGGTTTGAGTTCCTCATCTGCATTTCCAGCCCACTCAGGGTCAGCTTGCTGTCAGCCTGCAAGACAGGGGTTCTCTGGGGACATGCTGCTAAGGGACAGGTTACGCGGATGAAGACAGCAATGGCTATTGCCACAAAGACTTTGACCTAAACTGGAGAATGCCCTGAGCTCCCAGTCCAGGCTGGAGGATCCCCCTGCCAGTTCTGGCTGCTGTAGCCAGGCTGGAGTTTGGCTAATACAGCCCCCAGGGGGAAATGTTCCTTCTGCAGAGGTGATGCCCTCAGGGCCGCTCTGAGGGTGATGGCAGGGCAAAAACCTCTGCTTCTTGCGAGGATACGCAGGGTGACTTGAGTCCTTGAGGTTGTCAACCCACCACCACCACACACCCCATCTTCAGCCCCGTGAGCAAGGGCTGACGCCGCATGTCCCCATGTGCAGGATCCCTACAGAAAATGCGTGGCAGAGTGGCGGGACGTGAGCCTGCGGCAGGGCATCGTGGACCTATCCTTCCCGCTGGCTGCAGAACCTGCCCTGGGCACGTATGTCATCCAGGTGGAGGGGAAGAGCCATTCCTTCAGCGTGAAGGACTATGGTGCGTGGGGACAAAGGCTGTTTGGGATGGGGTGTTTGGGAGCCATCACATGGGATGGCAAGAAAGTCCTGAAGGAAGAAATGAGCACAATCCCATTCCCTGCTGCTCTACCCCCAGGGCCGCCCCACTTTGAACTGCTGATCCAGCTGCCCCGTGTTGTGACAGTGAAGGACGAGAAGATCCCACTGGACGTCTGTGGGTGGTGAGTCGGAGAGCAGCCCCAGCAGCGAGGCTGGCTGTTCCTGGGGTGATGCTCCCCTGGCAGCATCCCCATCTGTTCCCCTTCCTGTGCCCTCCTGACAGGTACCCGTCCGGGAAAACTTTCCGGGGAATGGCTGAGGCCAGGCTGTGCCAGTCCCACAAACATATTTTACCAGAGGAATCTGCGAGGATCTGTGCTGAGTTTAGGGGCCAGGTGAGGGCAGCAGGAAAGGGAGAAAGCACATGGGTGGTGGTCCTGGAAATATTTCCCCATTTTGGGGTGCTTGGGCTGATGATGGCTGGGTGCATCGTTCGGGCATTGCCAGGTGATCCAGCCCTCATGTGAAAGTGCTACAAACCCAGAGTCATCCCAAAGAGGAGCTAAGCAGAGACACTTGGGGTGGTCCTTGGGCCAGGATGGGCAGGAATGGGACAGCCAGCTGCATGGCAGAGCACGGTACCAGCCCTGGGTGGGCAAGTTTGCAGGATCCAAGGGTTGCAGGATAGAATGGAGGGAGGCAGCAGCAGTGGGGTGAGCGGCAGCTGGGACCCCAAGGATGACAGCAAATGACACTCAAGGGCCCAGTCACAGGGCTGCTGCTGATGTAGGTGACTATCTATGCCCTTCAGACAGGGAGGAACGGCTGCTTCTCCACCAAGGTGCCGGTGGCTTCCTTCAACCTGACCGCCTTGCACTACGAGAATCAGCTCTATGCCTATGCATCGCTGCTGGAGGAGGGGACCGGTGAGCGCAGCCATGCCGACAACCACCTGGTGATGTCCTGGGGTGGTGGCACTTGGAGGACATGGCACAACTGCTCCACTCGGGTGTCCCCAGGGTCTCTGCCCTTCCCCTCCACAAGCATCAGCCACTCTGTGGCCTGACTTGCTTTGGTGTCATTTTTTTCTCTACTCCTGACTGCTGGAGGAATCCCTTAGGTCCTGAAGGCTGATCAGGAGTTTCTTTCCTTTCCAACATCCCACCCCCAGATATCCTTCCATCGTCCACCTCTCCTTCCCCACTCTCTGCCTCCCTGAGACTAGTAAGTGTGCTTGATTAGTGCCTGGAGAGCTACTAGGGTAATTATTTTTCTTATCGGGTCTTTTTGACTTTGAATCTAGTTATAAACAGTTGTTATCTGCCTGAGAGGGCTTGTTAGACATATCCTTAGGGTCAAGTAAAAAGCCCATTTTCAGCACAGTGCAGCTGTGAGTGGCCTCTTCTATTTGCTTGCAGCCATTAAAAAGGGGATTTGGGGGTAAAGCTTGGTATTTTGATAGCATGCAGATCTTGGCTTAGCATGGTCCTGCTAACGCTACAGCTCCCATCACACCTGAGGACCATTTTTTGTGTTTGTTGCCCAATGAGTGTGGTTTTGCACTGTGCAAACTTGCCCTTAACCACTGCCTGCAAGAGGACAGCTTTGTTTCATATGGCCACTTGCAAAGACAGCAGTAAGGAGCAAATGTGTAATGCTGCGTGTTTGAGACTCTGACCCATCTTTCCTGGGGGGAATCACCAAGAAAAATTGCTGAGCACCTCTCTCATCTCCCCCTCCTGTCCGCAGGGATGTCGCGTACAGCGATCAAAAGCTGTGTGATTGTGTATGAAGTGGCCACGATCACCTTTGAAAACACCGATAAATTCTACAAGCCTGGGATTCCCTACACTGGGACGGTAATGAGGGGGTCCCTGCACCCTGCAGGGCTCCCCCTGCACCCTGCTGCACCCAGTCCCGCTCCCTCTGACCCCCAACCCCACCCTCCAACCCCTGCCCTCTGCCCCACGGCTGCTTCCCAGCCCGGAGCATCTCCCCATCCCTCCCAGTGCAGATGCTGCTGAAGGGAACCAATGGCTCTGCCCTGAAGGAGAAGGAATTCCTTCTTGTGGTTAATGCTAGAGGAGAAATGCAAAGGAAAACCCTGCTTACGGATGCATTGGGGAGAGCCTCCTTTGAGCTGGACACCTCTGGTTGGAATCACGAGGTCTCCCTGCGTGTAAGTGATCCGTGTCCCACACCTCTCAGGCACCCTGGATTTAGTAAGATCACAGAGGATTTCTTACACAAAATCTTCCAGCCTCCCCTTAACCTCATTTGGTCTTATTGCACCCGCAGCATCCTATGGTAAAGAGCTGCACGTGTTCATTAGCCCTGTGTAACACCTTGGTTGCCTGTCAAACCTTGCAGACCCCGGCACTCTTTGTGCTCCTCCTGTGCTGGGAAAAGGGGCTACTCTCACTTTTGATGCTTTCTGCAAGTTCTTCCTCTAATTCCTTCTCTCTGCCTTAATGTTTTCATACTTCACTGCTGAATTTCAGGCTCCTTTCTACCTTCACCATCTAGGCACAAGATCAGATATTTGTGGGATGCTTTTTCAGTTCCTAACATCTGCCCACATGTGCTGCTTAGCCATGCCTGCCTCCTCTTGCCATCCGCTGGCTACCTCTTTCAGTGTCCTTTGGACAAGCCCCGTGATGGCACACAGCTCTAATTTTTGGGTGCTGAGCACAGCTGGATTCCATTTCTTGGCATGCTCCTGCAGCGATGTCGCAGCAAAACGCATGGCAGTCGCAGCTGCAGAGTGACCTTCCACCCCTACCATGCTCTGCTGCTGAGCTGATCTTTACCACTGAGACCCTCAATTTCTACCCTTCAGGGTGAGCTCAAGGATGACCCTCCAGCCTCAGAGCATGAAGGAAGGGAGTATCTCAACTACAGAAGTGTCACTCGCTACCTGTATCCCTCCTCTTCGGATAGCAAAAGTTTCCTGAAGATCGGCAGGCTGGAAAAGAAGCTGCTCTGCGGCCAGTCCCAGCAGCTTGGGGTGGATTACTTGTTTGATAAGAAGACCATGGGGACTGAGCTGCAAAGTCTGGATGTGGTCTTCCTGGTGAGCTTTCACCTAGGGAGAGATGGGGGACTGCATGAAGGGCAGAGCTCAGGCAAGGAGAATAAGGCTGTGCGGGGTGTGGGGTTAAGCCTTCCCCTCCAGCAGAAGCCATTTCCAGCCAGCCCTGGGCAGGTATTCTTGGGTTCAGGACTCGGGGATGGACTTTGGAGCTGTCAGGTCTTGGGGCACCATTTCCATCCCTCCTGCAGGATGCGGCTCTAATAGTCTGTCCCTGAGAGTCCTCCACAGCCTCCCCTCATCTGCTTGTGCCGGTTCCACACAAAGCATCAGTTTACTTGTTCCCATCTCCTCCTCTGCAGGTCCTGGCCAAGGGGACCATTGCCACCGTCCTCAGGAAAGAGGTGCCTGCAGAGGCTGGTAGGTCCCAAGGCATGGACGAGCTGTGCAGGGCTCTGCTCTCCATGCCTGGTCCTCATCTCCCCTCCTTTCCCACGGCCCAGGGCTGAGAGGCTTCTTCTCCCTGGAGCTGCCCATCGGCCCCGAGCTGGCACCCACAGCCAAGGTGCTGGGCTACGCGGTGCTGCCCAATGGTGAGATGGTGGCTGACAGCACCAAGCTCCAGGTGGCCAAGTGCTTCCCTAGCAAGGTGAGAGAAGGCTGATGGAGTCTGGGGAGTTGCTGCCGGGCTCGGTGGGGAGATGTGGGCACTGAGCCTTGTTCTTTAGCGGAGCCTTTCCTCATTCCCTGCAACTGGCTGGTCCCAGACTCTCCTTCCAGGGAGGATTTTCCTTCCTCTACCATTCCTGTTGCTGCTGCAAACCATCTTCTGGCTTTGATCACAGTCCTCACTCTCCATCCTCTGCTGGCTTTTGGGGTCAGGCTGCGGCGCAGAGGTCCTTCCTGGGACCAGCTCCCCTCTCCCCTAACCCAAAGGCTTCCCCTCTCTCCAGGTGAATCTGTCCTTCTCAGAGCAGAGGGCTCTGGTGGGCTCACGGCTCCACCTGAAGGTGGAAGCTGCCCCAGGGTCATTGTGTGCCATCCGCATCGTGGATCAACGCATGTGGTCCTCCAGTCTCAAGGTCAAGCTCAACCCCAGCACGGTGAGTCTGGAGTAACCTCAGTGCTGGGCTGGACTGGACTCACTGCTGGGGCACGGGGACAGTAGTTTCTTACCATTGTCACCCATTTTAGGGGAGGACAGTGGGGACCTTGGGGGAGCTGCCCCTGCAGGATGAATCCTGGGTGGCTGGGAGCCCCCAGCGAGCCCCTGCCACCACCCATGGACTTCGGGGCTTTGCAGAGGAGGTCGTGCGTTACCAACCGGGGGGGCTGAGCCACAAAATTGCTCTGTGGTGCCTCCTGGGGTGGAAACCTTGAAAACAGGGTGCGGGTGGTGGGAAGCATCCCCTGCTCTTGGGGAGAAGAGAGATGGGGCAGTGACGGGTCCCAGTGGAGTGGCTGGGGCTGGCAGCAGGGCAGCAGCACTGCAATGCCCTGGGAGGTGCAGAAGCTCTGGGGCTATGCCAGGGGCAAAAGGGGTTGGAGCTGGGCCAAGAGCATTTCATGTCTTTCTTACCCAAATTTTACTTGTTTGGTTTAGGTCTATAACTTATTCCCAATGTTTCCTGAAGACAGCTATCCTGCTGAAGTTGAAGAACTCGATTCACCTCTCTGTTTGGGAAACGGGTTCTCAGGCTTGATGTTAGGCCGTCCAGCCATTAACCTTTTTGATGTACCATGGAATAACCGGAAAGTTTGGCGCCGCAGCCTGTGGCGCAGGCAGGTACCGGCGTCTGACATCCAGCCAGGCTCCTATGGCCTGGTTAAGGTACGAGCCCTCCAGCCCTACCTCACGCTCCTCTTCCTCCCAGGAAGGATTACTCAGGGTGCAGGGGGCACCCAGTCCCTCACCCAGGCCATGTCTGCACTCACGAACCATGCTCTTACATTGCCCAAATAACATGCCCTGCCTCTTGCTTTGCCAGCCTGGGACAGACATGTGAAATGCATCTGTCAGTCCAGGCACAGCAGCAGTTCACAGTGATGGGGCTAAGCTCTGCTCTTCCCATCGCAAATCCGGGCTTGGAGTAAACAGCATAGATGGATCTGGCGTTCCCCTGCTTTTTGGGGGGTGCGTCTCCCACTGGCAGCAACCCAGGGGTTGGGGCCATTTGGGAATGGAGCGAGCAGAGAAGATCCACCAGATCTTTCCCAACTGTCCCTGGAACTGCAGGAAGGCAAACAGTTTTCCTTGGCACAGATACTCCTCTCTTGCACTCCCATTGCAACATGGCGAGGGGTCCCAATCTTTGGGAATTCTGTTCTGGCATGGGGCTTTAAGTACATGTTGATTCCTTGCTTCAGAGAGGGATGGAAAGGCGTTTTGGTATCTCTGGGCTTCAGCATGGTGCTTTTTTCTCTTGTGTCATGTTTCAGGATGCAGGTTTGAAAACTGTCACCAATGCTCAGCTGGGCTGTGCACCAAACATCCACTTCCAAAGCCCTTTATACCCCCAAGGTGAGCGGAGAGAAACTGTAACAGGCTCCATGCTGGCTGCAGAAGGATGGGTGGGCACATCCTGCCTCTTTCCATCCTTTCTGGCAGCATGTTCAAATCATGCCCCTGTTTGCAGAAGCAGGACTGGAGAAGGATAAGCAGGCCGGTGTCATGCTGGACAGAGGGATGCAGGTGGATTTCCTGGGGACATGGCTGTGGGAGCTGGTCCCTGTGGGGTGAGTAAGAAGCCCCAGCAGACCTCAAGCCAGGGGACTGCCCTTATTGCATCAGCTTCACCTCTGGGTGAGGCACCCAGACCTCTGGTTCAGCATCCATGTATCCAGGAGAGACACTGAGACGTGTCCAGCCCCTTCCCTTGGACCTCAGCACTGACCCCGGGAGCCCAGGGCAGCCTGTCCTGTAGGCAAGGGATGCCATAAGAGATAAGAACACTGATGGTACCTCTGCCCATCACCGAGCGTGTGATGGCCACCAGTGGTCCCCAGGACCTAAAGGAAGGGGGTTGGCATGCTCCTTCTGCTGGCTCTGCCCATCAGACCCAGCCTGCAAGGTCTGTCCATCTTCTATCGCCCTGCAGGGAGGGGGGCTCTGCAGAGGTGATGGTGACAGTGCCCGATGCCATCACTGAGTGGAAAGCCGGGATGTTCTGCACGTCCCCGTTGGGCTTGGGGCTGGCCCCCATCATCAGCCTCACGGCCTTCAAGCCCTTCTTTGTGGAGCTGGCGCTGCCCTACGCTGTGGTCCGCCACGAAGCCTTCACCCTCGTGGCCACTGTCTTCAACTACCTGCAGCAGTGCCTGCGGGTGAGTGGGGCTGGGGAGGGGGCCCTGGGCCAGGGGTCTGGTGGGGGCTGATGGAGCCGTGGCCGTGGTCCGGCAGGTTCAGGTGACGCTGGCGGAGTCGGCGGAGCTGGAGGTGTTGGCGGGCACAGGCAGGGTGTACAGAGGCTGTGTCTGTGCAGATGAAGAGAGGACCTTCCAGTGGAGCGTGCGAGCCACCAGCCTGGGTACGGAGGGGACAGCAAAGGGCTGGGGATGGGGAGGAGAGCCCAGCGGCAAGACTCCTTGCAAAACTCCTCTTTGTCACTGCTTTTCTGATCCTTTCCTCCCCCTCCCAGCTCCCTCTCCCCTCCCCTCTCTCCCCTTTCCCTTCTCCACTCTCCAGCTTCTTCCCTCCATTTTCTGGTCCCATAGCACCCATTGCGCCCTTCCCCAGCTCCCTGGGACAGCTCTGAGCTGGAGCCAGCCCCTGAGGCAGTGTCACAGCAATGTCTTCCATCTGCCTCTGCAGAGAAGGTGAATGTCACCGTCATCGCCGAGGCCCTGCGCTCTGAGAAGCTCTGCGGCACTGAGATGCCGGTGGTGCCAGCCCAGGGGCACACGGACACCGAGACAAAACTCGTGATGGTGCAGGTGAGCAGAGCGAGGCAGTGGGCTTGCACCGCCCTCTCGCCAGGAGCAAAGCTGCACCCAAAGCAGTCACCCCCAGAGTGGAGCAGAGCATCTCCCCATCCCTCAGCAAGGCTGGATGGTGCCTGTGGGTGCTGCAACGTGCAGGGCGAGCACCAGCACCCAGCGCAAGGGGAGAGACCGTGTCCGTGCTTAGGTACCATCAGTGGGATGGTGCCTTCCCTTCCCTTTTGGGGTGAGATCGGTAGATTTGAGGCCACTGGCTGTGTGATGTTCAGTTTGCTCCCCTCATCACACCGTGCCATGGGGCTGCTCCAAGGACAGCCTGGCTTGGCCCGGGTGACCCTGAGCTCTCCTGGCCCATCAGAGCCGATGGGCTGCTGGTGGGGATGGGTTCCAGGTAGGGTGTTTGTTGGAGGTGGGGAGGCATTTCTGGGACAGAGAAGGGGAGGCTGACTCTGATCCTGGTCTCATACATGCTGTGTTCCTGGTTTTAAAGCCTCCAAAACCGATGTGAAGGAAAATTGCAGCTGCCTCTGCTCCTGACCCCATCGTACCCCACCAGACAGCCGCGGTCTTGAGGACTGGCAGCCTTTTCCCATCCCTTCGTCCCTTTTACCTGACCCGGCAGGAGCCTGCGGCAACATGGTTGAGATGACGACTCCAAAACCCAGCCCTGCTCCCCAGCAGCCCTGCCATCCTGTGGAGGTCAAGGGCTGCACGGGGAGCAGCCGCTTTGCTGCTCACTGTGGAGTCATGGTTTCCCTTCAGCTGATGCCAGTGCAATCCCTCAGAGACGGGACCAGGGCTGGTGAGCTGACCCTGGGCTGACCAAAAGCCTTGGGAGATCAGTGCAAGCCTGATGGCTGGGCACGGAGAGGATGCCCAGGGCTGCCCTGAGTGCAGCCCTGACCCTGTCCCTGCTCAGCCAGGTTGAAAAATGAACTAAAATGCAAGTGGGATAAGGGAGGTGAAAGCAGCAAAATGTTTTTCTTGCAAGAAAGCTCCCTTTCTTCAGGCTCTTTCCCACCAGCCCTGAGCAAAGCCAGCCTTGTGTCCCAAAACACACTTTATGTTAGGAGCTCAGCACTCCTGTCTGCCTTAATGATGTGTAAGAGCGCGTACCTTCACTTTGCTTTGCTGAATAAAAAGCTGAGACCAAACCAGAGAGAGCATTCATTGCATGGGCAACAAGGCAGCAGAAGAAACAGTACAACGTGCGGTCAGTGGTGCCTGGTTAGGAGGGGCTGGGGCACAACACACCCTGGCTCCTGCTCCGAAGTCACCAGCAGCACCAAATGACCAATCCTCCGTGTGATATTTCCCCCCAGCAGCGCCACAGGCACCGATTGGAGAGCCAGAGGCCTCCCCCCACAATCGATCTCCCCTTGGCCACGCTGCTCGTGGCCCCCACTGCATCCTGCCCTGTTCCCTGAAGGACTCGGTGTGCCAATGGCCCCGAGCTCCTTGTCACGTTGAACTGTCCCCACGATGTCTGTGGGGGCACTGACCTATGCCCACATCCTGGGGCGGCAGGATGGGCTTGGGGCCATGCTCCCACCTTGTGTCCATGGGGGGTGGTGGGGACCAGCCTCCTCTGGACACCGACACCGTGCGGGGCTGCTCCTGAAGAGCAGGGAGGTGAGCACAGGGCTGTATGTAGCAATACTCGAGCAGGGCAGGCATGGGGAGAGCAGCCGTGGTCATCTGAGAGCTCACGGGAAAGAGGTCAGCCCCATCCCCGGCTTCTCGCAGTGCTGCCTCTGTTTCTCCCCACATCCCCAAAAGGAAGGGGACTGCAAAACCCTAGAGCAGGGGATGCACTCAGGACAGCGTTTGGCTGTCATGGAGCTGCCTCAATTTTCCTAAATTCTCAGTAGGACAGAAAGAGGCACCTCAGCCCGTGCCCCGGCTGGTGTCCAGCTCCCAGGCATGGTGCGCAGAGGAATGAGAGCAGGTGGAGCTGGCATGACAGCCCAACACTGTCCTGCTCCTGTGCCTGTAACTGATTTGATGAAATTGGAGGAAACTGGGCAAAAAGACAGCCTGAGACCTTCAATCAGCCCAAATAGCTACTGTCTGGCTAAATTTGCAATACCTGGAAACAGGCCTTTTTGAGAAATTGCCAGCAATGCAGACTGTTCTCATTATGTCCTCCCTACTTTTGTTTGGGGAACTCATTCCTGCCATCATTTCCCAGCAAACCAGTGTGTAGATGGGTCCTGCCCCCTGGTTTTGAACCTCTATAGGCTATGGGAACTTTTCCTAAAATTGCAAAAATCCATCAGAGCCTTGAACCCAGGAAGCTGTGGGCAGATGGTAAACATTGCCTTAGCTATATCTGCAGGTTCATGCTGGATCCCTCTGCCAACCCTTGTTTGCTTGCTGGGTGGAAAGCAAAGATCTCTTTTTAGAGCCTGCAGCAGAGCAGACGCAGGTCTACAGCAACCCAACACCTGGAGAAGGAGGCTGTGGCCGTCCCCGACATCCACTTGCAGCTGGAGCCATGAAGACCCCAGCTGCCCTGCCCGTCCTGCTGCTCCTCATCCCGTACCTCACAGCTGGGGCGTCTGCAGCACCGTAAGCCCTCTCTGCGTCTGTCTGTCTGTCTGTGCCTGGTGGGAGGGCATTTAGTCTTGGCTCCTTGGCAGCGCGTAGCGGGAGCTGATCTTTCCCATGCATGTGATTTTTTGGCAAGGGTGGAAGTGCTCAGGCTGGTGGGTTGTCCCTGCCCGTGAGCATCAAGGACTTGGCACCCAGGGGCTGCTGGGGCTGGTGGCTCTGGAATGGTTTATTGTGGGTGCTGCCTCACTTGCAGCTGATGTATGAACAGAGCCTTTGCTTTGCTGAGCTGAGAAGTCAAGGGGAGCCCAGAAGCAGAGCCCTGCACACCAGCACAGGTTTCTGTGCACCCAGAAGCTCTTCAAGACCTCCATGGGATCTGTACTGGGATGTGCCTCATCCCCGTGCCTCTCACATCAGCACTTCTCCTTGCCAGGAGTTATGTGGTCACGTCCCCAGCTGTCATCTACCACCCCCACACAGCGATGCTGTGGGTCCATCTCAGTGGCCTTCAGAAGCCCGTCCAGGTGACCGTCCAGCTGCAGAGTGCAGACAGGACCCATGACATCACACTGCTGGAAAGGAAGGTCCAGGAGCCTCATCTGTACCTGAACATCACCTTCCCTGTAAGTGTCACCCCACGCACAGCCGTAGGCGTGAAGGGGGATGCCCTGGACACCCTGCTGTTTCCAGGCAGAGCAGTTTCCATCAGCTCCCCTGAGTGTGGGACTATGGTCTGACGTGGGGCTGTGAGCAGGCATGACTTCCCCATCTTTTGCCAGGGTCTCATCCCCGCCACAGGCAAAACGATTCTAGGCTCAGCCCAGTTATTCGGTGGCTGAAATAATCCCCTGGTAACAGACCTGCAGACTAGGGCAGGGTGTTGGGGGGACATTTCTTCCCAGCCACTGGCTTGGGGGGAAGGTGTCCCTGTGGGTGAGGAGTGCTCTGGGTCACTTGGAGTGAGCAGAGCATCCTGGCCATGGCATATACCTTGTCCTCACCCAGTGGCTGGTGTTTCCCCTGGCAGGCTCCAGCCCCCACCAAAGGGAAGGAGGAAATCGTAGATCTGCACGTCTCAATCCAAGGAGATTCTCTGGCTGTCTCCAAGAAGAAGAAGGTGATGCTGAGAGCCCTGGAGCCTGGGATCTTCATACAGACAGACAAAGCTGTCTACAAGCCTGGACAGCAAGGTGAGGGGGGCAGGCTGGACCATCCTGCTCTGGGCTGAAGGACCTGGTGGGAGGGGAGTGCAGGAGGCTCAGCCTTACTCCTACACTGCATGGAAATAGGAGGGTTCCTCCTGGGATGCACTGGGATCCCCAGCACTGGCCCAGGGCAATGCCAGGACATGCTGGCAGCGCTGGAGTCTGTGCTGTTTGGGGGGCAGTGCCCCACTGCAGGGCTCAGGGTGGATTTCCATCCACCTTCCCCACGAGGAAACCCCTCCCTGCAGATGCACCCATTCCTGCATCTTCATTTGCTCTTTCTAGTGAAGTTTCGAGTTGTCTCTTTGGATAAAGACTTCACTCCCAGCAATAAGAAGGTGAGAACAGGGCTGCGGAAGGGGGGAGGCAACAGGGCTCCTGTGCACTGACTTCCTACAGTCTTGGCAAGCCATGAGAGAGGTGTGGGAGTCAGCCAGCACCTTTCCCCTTGGGAATCCTGCCCCAGCCAGCTCTGCCTGGGTGGGTGCGCTCCCCAGGGGTGGGGATGCCCTGTGTTGTTCACACAGGCTTCAGGAGGCTAAGGAAAGAGAAAGCAGAATTGCATGTGTGATGTGGGAATGTACCCACTTAAACTTTTGGTTAGGGATGTAGTGATGGCGAGTGGGAAGCAGGGAAAGTGCTATTGATATCCATCAAGTCATCAGATGCCAGGATTACAGGCAAGTTCAGTCTCTGGCACCCCCGAGCAATCATCTGGGTCTCTGGAAGTGCAGGAGGTTCCCAGATGAAACGGTTGCTGGCTTCTTGCGAAGTTACTAGGATATGTCACCTCTCCATGGCATGCTGGCAGTGCCCTCGGCTCATCCCAGCTAGAGCTGCCCGCAGGCTCAAAATCAATCCCAAAGCAAATTAAAGGGTTGAAAGTTCACAGCATCCCTCAAATAATCCTCACTACTCCATCCACGGCTCCATAGATGTCCCCACCCTGATGAGACCCCAAGGAAGGTTTTGACTTTCTCCTCTAACCATCTCCTCTTCATCTTGCAGCTGCCCCTTGTGGTCCTGAAGGTCAGTCTGATGGAGGGAGGCTCCTGGGTGGTGTGGGCTTGGGAAGGCACCATGGCTGGGAGAGAAGCATAAGGCAGCCATGGGCTGTTTTATTGCGGGGTGCTGGGGTTCCCGGGGTGCTGATGCCGCATGTCCCCGTGTGCAGGATCCCAGTGGGAACCGCATCGCGCAGTGGCGGGAGGTGAGCCCACAGCAGGGCATCACGGATTTGTCCCTCCCGCTGGCTGCAGAGCCGGCCCTGGGCACGTACATCATCGAGGTGGAGGGGAAGAGCCATTCCTTCAGTGTGGAGGAATATGGTACGCGGGGACCGGGAGATGCACAGGGGGTGGGAGCCTCACCTCGGCATGTCCCTGTGGGCAGCATGTCTTGGCCCCCCTGGCCCCCCAGGCACCGTTGTCCTTGTCCTGGGAGCGATAACCCTCTGTCCCTTTGCTTCTCCGTCAGTGCTGCCCAAGTTTGAGGTGACCATTGATCTCCCCGCCGTGGTGCTGGAAAAGGACAAGAAGTTCCAGGTGGAGATTTGTGGACGGTAAGCCTGAAACAGGCTGTGCTGGGAAGAGGGAGGGATGGGGGGGTCTGACATGATGTGGTCCATCAGGCACACCCTCACCACCCTCCACCCAACAGGTACACCTACGGGAAGCCTGTCCAGGGGAAGGTCCAGGCCAGCTTGTGCCAGTCCTTCAGGTACATCGGGATCCTGTACAGCCTTAATAGTGCCCTCCAGAGAGAGAATTGCATCGAGGTTAGCGGGCAGGTGAGTACAGCTGGGGAGTGGGTGCCACTGGGACAGCCCCTTCCCAGGACTGCTGCTAACGGGGTTGAATCTCTCCTGCCAGACTGAGAAGAATGGCTGCTTTTCAGCAGAGGTTTTGTTGACCGCCTTCAACCTTACCAGCTCCACCCATGAGAAGCAACTCCAAGTCGAGGCATTGCTGGTGGAGGATGGGACAGGTAGGGACAGTGGTGTTCTCCTCCTTGGGAATGGGCTTTGCTCTGGTGCATGGTTTTGCATTCATCCCTGCGTGCACCCAAATGCATGTGGCACAGTGGTATTGGTCTTCTCCAGGGAAGCCCAAAAGCTACGCTGTGATTTAGAGGTGCACGTGTGCAGGGACTGGGTCCAGGTGGGGATGTGAGCCAGGTCAGATGGGCAATACTTCTAATTCTGTCCAGAGAAATGGTTGGGAGGCAAAAATGCCTTTCCAAGGTCCAACAACTCTCCCGATGCTATGGCTAGCAGTGAGTCGAGTCCTTGTGACACAAAGCACTGGTTTCACCCAGTCCGGTGGCTTGGCTTCGTTCTTCAAGATAATCCACCTCACCCACCACCTCAGTCCCACCAGAAATGACTGCCAATGGCTTGGCTTCAGGAAAAAAAAAAGACCAGGGGTTGTCCCAGGTGCACCAGCACTGAGGTGGCCCTGCATCATGGTGCTTTGGTGAAGCACCTTTTGTGAAGTCTCTGCAGCCAGCTGCGCCTCGGCTTTAGGTCTAAAACATGCTGTAGATGTTTTGCTCCTCTTGTAGAAGGTGCGAGCTGTGCTTGAGGCTGCTGGCTGCGGAGGGAAAGCCTAAAATGTCCAGGGACCTTTTCTGCACTGTGACGGGGAGCTGGCAGCAGCTAACCTGTGCCCTGTGTCCTCGCAACACCCTCAGCTCCCCACTCCCTCTCCACAGGGCTGGAGATGAAAAATACCAAGAGCTGCAAGATTTTACCTGAAATCCTCACTGTCACCTTTGAAAACACTGATGATTTCTACAAGCCCGGCATCCCCTACACTGGGACGGTAATGAGGGTGTCTCTGCACCCTGCAGGGCTCCCCTGCACCCTGCTGCACCCAATCCTGCTCCCTCTGACACCCAGCCCCACTCTCCCACAGCTGCCCTCTGCCCCACGGCTGCAGCCCAACCTGGGGCATCTCCCTGTCCCTCCCGGTACAGATGCTGCTGAAGGGAGCCAGCGGCGCCGTGCTGCCGCAGAAGCAGCTCTTGCTTGTCGTTAGCCAGCAAGGAAAAGATACGAGACAGACCTTCCTGACAGACAGATCTGGGAGAGCCTCCTTTGAGCTGGAGACCTCTGGTTGGAGTGGCACCGTCCACCTGCGTGTAAGGGACCCATCTCCCTCCCCTCAGGGGTCCCTGTGCTGCTTTCTCCAGTAGTACAGGGCTGGGCACCTCTCCAAGCCTGCATCAGCGATGCCTGCTCCTGGGACCAGCACCTTGTGGGCTGCTGAACAACTTCACCTCCCTGACTTCTACCTCCATTGCTCAGGGTCAAGTCAAGGAGACAGCTCACACCCAGAACGACGGCTCGACACCCATCTACCAAAATGCTTACTTGTACCTCGTCCCCTTCTCTTCGGCGAGCAGGAGCTTCCTGCGGATCCGGCGGTTGGAGAGCGAGCTGCCCTGTGGCCAGCCCCAGCAGCTCTGGGTGGACTATCTCTTCAGCAAGGAAGCCTTGGGGACTAAGCTGGAGAGCCTGGATGTGGTCTTCCTGGTAAGTCCCAGCCCAGGGAGGTTGGGCAGTGGGCGTTAGGGCGGTTGTGTGCGAAGGTCCACATCTACACACGCATTCGTGGTTGTGTCCCTGAGGACAAGACAATGAGCAATCTGTCCTGGCTAGACCAAGACACCTATGCCTGTTAGTAGAGGTGTTTGCTAGTACTGTTGGACCTGCATGCCAGTGGGAGATGTTGTGGGGGCTGGAGGCTGGACAAAGTCAAAAACCATCCCTACACTCTTGCTCTTGGGTCCATCCTCCGTCAGGGCATTTTGGTTCCACACAAAGCATCAGTTTACTTGTTCCCATCTCCTCCTCTGCAGGTCCTGGCCAAGGGGACCATTGCCACCGTCCTCAGGAAAGAGGTGCCTGCAGAGGCTGGTAGGTCCCAAGGCATGGACGAGCTGTGCAGGGCTCTGCTCTCCGTGCCTGGTCCTCATCTCCCCTCCTTTCTCACGGCCCAGGGCTGAGAGGCTTCTTCTCCCTGGAGCTGCCCATCGGCCCCGAGCTGGCACCCACAGCCAAGGTGCTGGGCTATGTGGTGCTGCCCAACAGCGAGATGGTAGCTGACAGCACCGAGCTCAAAGTGGCCAAGTGCTTCCTCAAGAAGGTGAGAGAAGGCTACTGGAGTTGGGGAATGACTCCATGGCTTGTCCATAGCTGCATGCCCTGAGCTCCATCCTGCTCCAGATGTATCATAGTGTCTCTTTAACCCATGCCCTGATCCCCAAACACTTAAGCCTGATTTTATCCTTGTCTAGAAGAGACCTCCATGTCTGTGGCTTGGTCCTGTTCCTCCATGGGAGGTGGCTCCCCCTCCTGCCCGTGACGCCCCTGTCTCTTCCCAGGTGAAGATGGCTTTTTCGGAAGACAGGGCTCTGCCCGGCTCGGCGCTGCAGCTGGAGCTGGAGGCTGCCCCAGGGTCCCTGTGTGCCGTCCGCGCCGTGGACCGCAGCGTGCTGCTCTTGAAGCCCGAGGCTGAGCTCAACACGGAGGTGGTGAGTGGTGGCACTGCCCAGGGTCCCTTCTGCAGCCCCAGGGACCAGCCAGGGATGGGGGTGGGAAGAGATGACATTGGCTTGGACCTCCCTTATGGGGACTCAGTGCCATGGTGGCTCCTGGGCAGTCCTACTCCCAGCCAGGGGGTAGGTGCCTGGCTCGTTTTGTACTTAGCACACATTTATTCCCAGGTCTACAAAGTACTCCCTGAATTCAACTACCCTCGAAGCATTCAGGACCCATCACCCTGTTCAGCATTTTCCTGGGACTATCCCCCCAGCTTTGACGTTCCCATCCTCCCAGTTTTACGGAGGCAGCGAGACTTCTTTCGCTCAAGGAGGCGTGTCTTACCTTTCCTGAGGACTTCCCAGAGGGACACCTACCAGTTATTTCAGGTAAAGGCCCTGCCCGCCTGTGCCTCCTAGTTACTCTTTGTCCAGGAGCTGGCTGTGCTTTGCTCAGGGTGCTGGGCAAGCACAGCGATGTCCCATGAAAGCCACACTCGTGGCAAAGGTCTTTCCCGCAGACCCCAGGCTCCAGTCCTCCTCTACTTGTTGCCTTCTGCAGCCCTGTAACTATTTACTGCTGGGATGGAGATAGTCCTCCTGCTGGGTTTCAGAGATGGACAACCTCTTTTCTTTCCACAGAACGCAGCACTGAAGCTTTTCACCAATGCCAAGACCAGAGATGTTTGCGAAAAGAGGTTCAGCTTGCCCGAGGTGCTGGGTTCCCAAGGTCCCAGAGGTCAGCACAGCCCTCAGCTTGCTCGCTCCACTGAGCCCTGTCGGGAGAAAAGAGCAAAGAACTGGTGCCCCGTCCTGGCTCCCATGTCCTCAGAAGGACTTGGAGCCATCCTGAAAATACGCTCGGCACCAAAAGGGATTGAAGAGGATTGAAAAGGATTTTGACAATCTTCATGCTGCCTGCAGGCGAGGTCCAGCTGAGACGCAGAGACCTATGGAACCCAATTTCTGCTCTGCCTTTTCCAGGTGGCTTTAGATCCTATGTGACCTCTGTGAGGGAAGAAACCGTCCCACAAGTAATGTACAGTGTTGCCTCAGAAGTAATGGACGTTGGTATCCCAGTCGTCGCTGTCCAGGAAGAGCCACCAGCACCCCGGACGTATTTCCCAGAGACATGGCTGTGGGACCTGGTCCCCGTGGGGTGAGTGAGGATGGTCTCCATGGGGCTGGTCCTCTCCCCACCTCCCCTCCTGCATGGGAGAGAGCCAGCTTAGCTGGGGGTGATACCAGCTGTGGGTGAACGTGGTGCTATGGCCTCAGCATGTTCTCCATCCTGCAGGGAGGGGGGCTCCACGGAGATGACGGTGACAGTGCCCGACGCCATCACTGAGTGGAAAGCCGGGATGTTCTGCACGTCCCCATTGGGCTTGGGGCTGGCCCCCACCATCAGCCTCACGGCCTTCAAGCCCTTCTTCGTGGAGCTGGCGCTGCCCTACGCTGTGGTCCGCCACGAAGCCTTCACCCTCGTGGCCACTGTCTTCAACTATCTGCGGCAGTGCCTGCGGGTGAGTGGGGCTGGGGAGGGTGCCCTGGGCCAGGGGTCTGGTGGGGGCTGATGGAGCCGTGGCCGTGGTCCGGCAGGTTCAGGTGACGCTGGCGGAGTCGGCGGAGCTGGAGGTGTCGGCGAGCACAGACGAGGTGTACGGTGGTTGTATCTGTGCAGACGAAGCGAGGACTTTCCGGTGGGGCGTGCGAGCCACCAGCCTGGGTACGGAGCACCGGGGCCACGGCAGGATCCCCCTGCCCTGCTGCTTGGGGACCCCCTTGGAGGAGGGGGTGGGCAGGGAGGACAGGAGCAAATGCAGTGCCACCTGGGAAGCTCTCCTCCGCTCCACTTTCACCTTCCCCATTGCCTCCCAGCACTGCTTCTCAACCTGGTGACCCCCATCCTGACCCAGCCAGCCCCACACGAAGTCCCAGGGCTGAAGCAAGCCCATGGGGCTGCGGTGCAGGCTGGGGGGCTCTGACGGGACTGAGTGCCCCACTTGCATCTGCAGGGGAGGTGAACATCACCGTCAGCACCGAGGCCCTCAGCTCCGAGGAGCTCTGTGGCAACGAGACGCCCGTGGTGCCGGCCCAGGGGCGCGTGGACACCGTGATAAAGCCCTTGCTGGTGCAGGTCAGATGGCTTACGGAGAAGGAAAGTGGGATAGGTTTGGGGACAGGGTCCGAGCAGCCTTTGGGGCACAGCATGAGAACTGGGAGCGGGACAGCACCCAGACCCGAGCCCAGGTTGCAGGCGAGACCCTGGGGGACAGGGGGACATGGCTGATCCCTTCTCCTGACCAACTCTGATGCTGCTTCCCCACAGCCTGGGGGGATCCTGGTGGAGAAGGCGCACAACTCCCTGCTCTGCCAGGAAGGTAGGACTGGCTGGGGGTGTCTGGCAGTGCCACGGGGATGTGGGGCAGGGATGCTTGGCCACTGGTCACGAGGGCCACCAGGCCAGAGGAGCCAAGGATCAGGGTCCCTAGGGGCTCCCGGCTGAGATGCTGCAACCCAGCCTTGAGCCCATGGAGGGTTGGAGCAGGAAGGGGGTGGGCGAGGGTGCTGTGGGGCTAGGCTGGAAGGAGCTGGGCATCCCTGCTGTTGTTGCCGGGCATCCCCACTGTTGTTGCCCTCCATCCCCGCAGCTGCTGAAGAAATCTCCCTGGAGGTTCCTGCAAACATCTTGGAGGGCTCCCAGCGAGCCCACGTCACTGTGATGGGTAAGGAACAGGCAGGGGCCTGGGGACCACCCGAGGCAGGAAGGGTGCAGAGCTCCAGGGCCCAAGCTCAGCAGGATGTTGGACCACCCAGAGCTGGGACAGAGGAGATACAGGGTGCTGGTGGCAGGGGGGGCACAGTCAATGACGGTGCTCCCCATGTCCCCCTGGGACAGGTGACATCATGGGCAACGCTCTGCAGAACCTGGACCACCTCCTGGCCATGCCCTATGGCTGTGGGGAGCAGAACATGGTTCGCTTCGCCCCCAACATCTACATCCAGCAGTACCTGGAGAAGAGCGGGCAGCTGCACCCCGACATCCGTGCCAAGGCACAGGGCTTCCTGCAGAGTGGTGAGCGTCCCCGGTCCCCTCCTCTCCCCATCCCACCCTGCCTTGCTGCTGAGGGACACCACGGCCCCATATCCCCCCCTCCCCATTTTCTACCTGCACCCCGGGGTGGGTCTGGGCTGCAGGCTGCCTCTAGGATCCCCTGGGGATGTAAAGACCACTGTGTAAAGACTCGTCCCCATCTCCTCCCCACAGGGTACCAGCGAGAGCTGCTCTTCAAACATGATGATGGCTCTTACAGCGCCTTCGGGAAGAGTGATCCCACGGGCAATACCTGGTGAGGGACCCCATGGGGCTCAGGCAGGCTGTGCAGCAGCATCTCTCCAGGGACTGGCAGTCCCAAGGCTCCTCCAGCCACCAAGCATATCCCAGCCCCGTCTCCCATCCCTCCAATGTCTCTCTGGCTCATAGGTTGACAGCATTTGTCCTCAAGTCCTTCGGGCAAGCCAGAGCCTACGTGGCCATTGAGGAACGGCACATCCAGGATGCGCTGCACTGGCTGCAGAAGCAGCAGCGGCAGACAGGTTGCTTCCGCAGTGTGGGAAAGCTCTTCAACAACGCCCTACAGGTGGGTCGGTGGGCTGGGGTGGGACATGGGGACTTGGGTTGGTCCCAGCATGTCCCCGGTGTGTGGTCTAGGCAGTGGGGGAGTCCCCGTGCCAGTGGCACGGCATGGCCGGACCCGTCTCCCTCTGTCCCCTTTGCAGGGAGGCGTCTCGGACGAGCTCTCGCTGTCGGCTTATGTCACGGCTGCGATGCTGGAGCTGGGGCTCTCCCCAACGGTGAGGATGACCCCATCTGGTGGGGTGGGGATGGGTGCTGGGGCAGGGAGTCCAGCTGTTCTGGGCCACCTCCTATCCCGAACTGGGCACAACTGGTCTCACTGGGCAGAACTGGGGACTCTGAGCAATGCCCACACCCATGGGCTGGCTCCTGACTCTGCTCCCATGCCAGGACCCGAAGGTGAGCTCAGCCCTGCAGTGCCTGAAGGCTTCGGCCACGGACAACCCCTACACGCTGGCGCTGCTCGCCTACGTCTTCGGGCTGGCGGGGCACAGGGAGCAGCAGCAAGTCCAGCTGCAGAGGCTGGCCCGGCACAACGTCAGCGCAGGTACCACCCAACATGGGCAGTGGCACTTCCAGGCAGTGTCACCCCATCCCAGCCCCCCTGGGACCCCTGGAGCCGGGGGCTGAGCTCCCACCCCCTTCTTTCCCAGGGGGGGAGCTCTACTGGCAGATGAAGGGGAAGGCTCTGGTCCCCTCGCAGCCCTCCTGGGCTGTCGCCGCACCGTCGGAGGTGGAGATGACCGCCTACGTCCTCCTGGCCTACCTCTCCCAGCCCCAAGTGTCCTCTGCCGACCTGGTGACTGCTTCCCAAATCGTCCGCTGGCTCAGCAAACAGCAAAACCCCTATGGGGGCTTCGCCTCCACGCAGGTACCGGCACCAGGGTCCATGGGGCTGCTCTACAGCATCCCCTCCCTGTATCTGCAGTGAGGGGTGACTCTGGCTCGATGCTTTCTCCATGCCCAGGACACGGTGGTGGCCCTGCAAGCCCTGGCCAAGTACGCCGCCCTGACATACAGCAGCAATGGGGACTTCACTGTGACGGTGACGTCCCCGACGGGCACCACGCAGGACTTTGTGCTGCACAACAGCAACCGGCTGGTGCTGCAGCGGGTGGATCTGCATCAGCTGCCTGGTACCTACGGGGTGCGAGCCCACGGGCAGGGCTGCGCCCTGGTGCAGGTGGGTACGGCCGGGGGTCCCTGTCCCTGTGCAGTGCCCGCTTGGTGGCTCTAACCCTCCTGCATCACCCCAGGTGACCCTGCGCTATAACACGCCACCCCCTCCGAGTGCGGGGACGTTTGACCTCCGCGTGGAGACAGAGCCTGGGGAGTGCACGGTGGATGCCCGCGCCCGATTCCGCCTCGTCCTCCGGGCACGGTAGGGCTTGGGGCTGTCCCCAGGGTTTGGGGGGGCTGGGAGCAGCCAAGGAGGGAGGGCAGACCCCAAACCCACCCCGGGGCTCTGTCCTTGCAGGTACACAGGGGAGCGTCCCACCACCAACATGGTTGTCATCGAGGCCAAGCTGCCATCTGGCTACATCCCGGACAAGAGCTCCATGGTGGAGGTGAGAAGCCCCTGCTACCCCCAGAACCCCCTCTGTCCCACTGGGGCACCCACCATGCCACTGAGTCCCTGCCCCTCGGGGGCAGTGGGACATGGAGGGGCACCCACTCTGGGTGCTGGCCCTCGCTGGGCCACCCACCGAGCAGCTTTTGCCCACCTTGAGCTGTGTCCCTCCAGATGAAGAGGCAGAAGCTGGTGAAGAAGGTGGAGGTGCAGCTCGACCAGGTGACGATTTACCTGGACCAGGTGAGATGGGGCATGGGGACAGGAGCAGGACCCCACGTGCTGGGGCATGGGGATGCTTCTCCATTGTGGATGGTTGCACCTCACCCTTGGGCCGTCTCCACAGCTGACAAAGGAGAAGGAGGAGATCTTCGCCTTCACCGCCACGCAGGACTTCCCAGTGAGCAACCTCCAGCCCGCCACCGTGACGCTGTATGACTACTATGAGACAGGTGAGCCCCACCAGGGATGTGGCCCCACAGTGTCCGGCCCCACTGCCACCCCTTGCAACCCCAAAGGCTCAGAGGGGGGATCTGGCTGAGCTTTCGGTTCACATTGATGAGTTTTGGCTCATTAACGGGAGCAGCTCACCCTGAGCCCACTGGTCACCATCCTTCCCATTGCAGGTGACCGCACAGATGCTGCCTACAGTGCACCTTGCAGTTCAGGTAGGGGCCAAACCTGACAGGGGAGAGGGGTGACCCCACCATCGGGCCCCTGACAGGGACCCACCAACCCCGAAGGGCCAACCTGGGCTGTGCTGAGCCCTTGGACCCAGGGGAATGAGGAGCCCAGCCAGGAGCGTGGAGCCCTGGATTGATCGACGGGACTTGCTGGCCAGAACTTGAGGGGCTGGACGTCAGGGAGGACCTAGGTGTCCAGGTTGTGGGGTGCAGAGGGCGACTGTGCCTCTTTGAGGGGGCTCAGACCCCCATCAGCCCTGGCCTTCCTCCTGTGCACCGTATGGAGCTCCCCATCCATGGGTTTGGGGTCACACAGGGGATGAGACACTGAGTTCCCAAGGATGGAGCTCAGCTGGAGGAACAGAGGTGGCCAAGGGTGGCTGGGGGGGCAGAGGGGCTCTCCTCTCACAGCACACCTGTATTTGATTTTGAAGAGGCTGATGGTCAGGAACAGGAAAACTTCTAGCACAGCCTGAAGCCTGGCAGCTGGTCCCCTCTGCTCGCCCCAACTCCCTCACCCACTGAGGACCAGGATGGCCGACTGTCTCTGCTCCCAGCCTGGCCCCAGCCCCTACCCTCCACAGGGGTGGAATGTGGCCCAGCGATACTCACAGCACTGCCAGCGCACAGCTCGCTCTGGACTCAGCCACCTCTCCCGGTAGCGCAGCTCCCAGCCCACCAGCACCCAACGGAGCCACAACCAAGGGGCTGATGCAGACCCACGGGCAGAAACGTCTTGCTGTTTCTGCAAGCCCCTGCCAGAGATAGTTGACTCTGGTTGAGCAGCCAAGTGGTGGCTTTACAGGGACACCCCTGTGCATCTCCCCCCTAACACCCTGAAGGAGCTCTGGGGCACCAGGTCTGGCCCCTCCGTTCCCCATGGCACTTGAATGGGACCAAGACCTCCTCGCTCCCGTCAGACCAATTGTCCCTTCCCCAGCAGGTTCCCACCACCACTCACCCCATCTTGCTCTCCCTGAAAGTCACGCTGCTACCCTAGTCTCCTCCTTGGCACTAACATGGTGCCACTGTCACCAAGAGGGACCTGGGGACACCTCCCCAATCCCATCAAAACAGATTCAGGCGTTCGTTGACGGAGAGAAGCCGCAGTTCCCCCAGCCCCTGCCCTGGGTCTAAATAAATACATTTGTTCAAGTGATCTTTTCTCTTGGTCTTTCTTTTCCTAAACTTGCAGGGTCCCACACCTGGAAGGCGTACAGATGGACAGGCGGTGGGGATGGGGTGGCTGCTGTGGACTGTCTTGGTTGGGGCATGGAGGGTGGATGTCAGGCTGGCTGGCTGCAGGGCAAGTTAATTGCTGTTCAGCTGCTTTGCCAGAGATAAAATGAGGCGCGCTGAGGCAGGTGGGCTCCCCGAGACATTAGCAGAGAAGCACAGAACCCACCCACCCAATGGTCCTCTCTGCCTGCCAAACAGTGCATGAAGGGATACAGCAGCTCACAACACAGGTCCCTCACCTTGCCAAGACACAGGACACATCCTGGTGCAGCCTCAGACTGGGGTTTAATTCTGCCATAACCGAGGAGTTGCTCTAGGCAGACTACTAACACCCACCTGCTTCAGGGCTCAGCACCCACCGTCCTGCGACCTCGGTGACAAATATGGCCCAGGGAGCCGTCCCCCTGAGCCACAACCTCTCTGGGGACAGCGAGGGCTGGCGTGGATATTCACGCCTCCTCCGCAGGGCAAGAGTCTCCCAACAGAGCCAGCAACGGTGAGAGACCTGGAGATGCAGCCACGCAGCGAGCACGGGAAGGGGGTCGATGCTACTGTGCTGAGGCCAAATAAACCCTCCCTGCCCCACCAGAGGACAGGAGGCAATGTCACATCAAGGCACGGACTAACAGCAACATGTGGCTAAGTCACAGTCCTGTCCCCATGATGGGGGATAGCGTCAGGGCGAGCCAGCTGCTCCCAAGGCCACGGTGGGAGGACAGGAGCCAGCGCTGCCCCGTGCTCCAAGCCAAGTCCCTTGCCGAGGACGGAGCTGGTCCCATATCACTTATGGCGTTTTTTCTTCTGTTCTTTGCGCTTCTGAGCCCTCACGTCCTTCTTCAGGCGGCTGTCGACAACCTTGAACTGGCCCTTGACGCCAGGAGGACGGCGCACCCGGGGTCCTACGCCTTTCTTAGCCACCAAGTAGGTGACCTGCCGTTTCTCCTTGGCCAGCCCAGCCTTCTTGTAGATGCTGTGGGAGAATGACAAAAGGTGAGACCGAGACCCCAGCACCCTGGCCCAGCTCCAGCAGTTTGGCTTTGGGACGTATCCAAAGAGCAATATTGGGTCCCACCACTCCTCTGGGCCTCTGTGCCCCAAGATGGGGCTCCCTTGCTTGCTCTGCCATCCCTCAGCCTACACCCAGATCCAGCCCAGCCTTTGCCAGCCCTGCTGGGTTACACGCAGGAGCTGTCCCCGAGCTGTGGCCGCAGGGAAAAGGCATTGCAAACCAGCCCAGCACAAGACAAAGGACCTGGATCTCAGCTTCGCCACTCACCGCCGCAGCTGGGCCACCTTCTCCCGCTCTGAGATATCCACCGTGCTCACCACGGCCTCTGCTTTCTTCTTCATCTGCTCCATCTTCTTCAGCATCTGTGGGGACAGCGAGGGTGAGGGACAAGGGGGATCAGAGGAGGGACAGAGCACCTGGGAGGGGAAACAGAACACCCGTTCAGGTTCACAGCCCCACTCACCCGTCGCTTCTTGCGGGCCTTGGCCTCTGCCACCTTCTTGATGGGGCGGGCGTTGATTTCACGCCAGCGCTGCCGATATGCTTCAACTGTCTGCCGGTCCACGGGTATCTGCTTGCGCCGGTGCTGCTTCTCCTCCTCTGTGAACCATTCTGGCAGCTCTCCCTCATCCTCATTGAAGGAATACCTGATGGGGGACTCGGGTGAGTTGTGAGCGGGACATGGGGTCCCCACAACAACACATCTGCCACCCCCATGGCCTGTCTCATGGTGGGAGACCAAACGCTGCTCCCCCTTCAGCACCCACAGCTGCAAGTACCTGTTGAAGGAGTCATCAATCAGGTCCCGCTTGGCCTTTTTGGAGGTGGCGATGACGGAGCCAAGCGCCAGGCCCTCTGCATCCAGGACACGGGCTCTTTTCACTGCAGCATATGGACAGAATAAAGCTTCGCCAACCTGCAAGCAGCCCTGCCAGCCCAGATAAGCATGGTCTGCTGTCCTGCCTCCTGTCCCTAAAGAGGGACTCACATGGTATCGCTGGGCACACATGGGTCCAAACAGCACCCCCCACTCACCTGGGTTCTCAATGGGCACCACTTCAAAGCCACACGGCTCAACACGGCCCCGCTTCCTCCCCACTGGTGTTGGTGGCCTGTGAAGAAGAGAGTGGTCAGGGCTGGGGTCCTCACCTCCCAGCTCTCCAGGACTGTGGAGCTGGGGGAGAACATCCAGACCACCCCCCTCTCAGCCCTCACCTCTCCTCGTCACTGCTGCTGTCATCATCGCTGCTCTGTTCATCCTGCTCTTTACCAGCGTCAGGTCCTGTGTCTGCGGCAGGTGGGGGCTCAGCTGGAGCTTCTTCCTGGGGTACATTCTTCTTCTGCCCTTTCCTTGTTGCTTTGTCTGGGGAACAGGAACCACTGGGTGAGACAGGGTTGAGGCAGGCCCCACTTCAAATCATTCCTCTAGAGACCCAGCGCATTAACGCTACACTAATGCCAGCTCATTAACTATGTAACGATACAGGCTGGAAACAACCTCTGGAGATCTCTGGTCCTGCTCAGGCCAGCATCCCTATCATGGTTTGATCCAGTGTCCCAGACTGGCCTGTGGGGCTGTCCCTCTGTGCACCCACCCAGCGATGCAGCCCCCCACTAACCTCTCTGAGACTCGCGCTGTCTCTCAGCCAACATCTGCGACTGCCCCAGCTCCAGGCCCTCATCTGCATCGTCCTCGATGCCAGCAAAGGCGTCCTGGGGATTGGGAGCAGCCAGTCAGGAGACACAGGGCAGACCCAGGGAGCTGCTGGGGCTGAGGCTGCCCTGTCATTTCTGGCCCAGTGGGACTCACCTTTCCAAACCACAGGCTGGTCTGCCGTTCCTCCAGCACCGACTTCTCCTCCAGGGGCACCAGCAGGGGATTCTCCTCTTCTGCCCCTTCCTCCTCCTCTTCCTTCTGCTTAAATTTCACCCTGTGACAAACAGCAGCAGGATCAATGCCCCCCAGCCAGGACGGGGTGTGCCCACTGCCAGATTCCGGAGCTGCTCCAAAGGAAACCCCTGCCCCAGGGTGGCCTCTCCCAGCTCTCACCTCTTTGCACCCTGCTCTCGCCTTTCTCGCTCCAGCCGGCGCTGACGGGCCTCTATCTCAACCAGCTCCTCTGGGTCCAGATCGCTGGCCAGGGACACATCGTCCTCTTCTTCATGATCTGAGATATAAATATCATCGTCCCCAGGTCCTATCTCCAAGAGGGCATCTGCTGATGCCATGTCCCCCCGGGTCACTTCATTCAGCAGCTGCAACGCAAGTAAGACAAGTCACAAGCTACAGTCCATCAGCCATGTGCCCACCACTGTCTTGGCTCTGGGAGCCTGGCCTCCCCCTGCCCCACACACCGGGGTCCTGTGGATAGTCCGGAGGGAGAACATGCTGGTGTCACCATCATCAGCGATGGAGACACCAGGGAGGTCCATCTTCAGCTCCACACGCTCACGCTGCTTCCGCTGTTCCTTCAGGATTTTCTTCTTCTTTCTGGAGGAGACAAAGGAATAAGGCTACACTACCCGCCTCCCCCCACTCCCCCCATCCCAGAGGCTCATCCACTGCCACATCGGTGGCAGATGTCCCTCAGCAACACTGTCATCCCCCTGTGAGGTATCCCCAACCCTGAGACAAAGGGGGGCCCATGCCAGCTTGAACAGCCGCTTCACCTGCTGGGAGGAGCAATGACCCTGAGGACCCCAGATCCACAAACCCCACCCACTGTGAACAGAGGGACAAGCTCTGATACTACCACCCTCTGTCCCCATGGCTGGAGCTTTCGGGTGCTCTGCTGGCCTGGTGCTCCCTCATCTCTCCTCATGTGAGATCTTTTTACCTCTTTAACTCTGCCAGCTCCTTGGCTTTCATCTCTGCCAACGCCAGCTCTACCTCCTCCTCTTCCTCTTTCACCACCTCATCAGCTGCGGCTCTTGGCAACGTCTTCTTCTCCTTCTTCTCCTCCTCTTTGCCTTCCTCCTCTTCACCGGAGCTCAGGCTGCCAAAAGGAAGGAGCTCAGACCATCTCTCCTGATGGCAGGCCCATCCCACCGCGTTTGCGCTCCGGGGCAGCCCTGTTATTCCTACTTGATATCCAGCTCCTTCGCCTGCTCTTTCAGCTTTTTGGCCAAGAAACGCCGCAACTTTGTCCTCCAGTTCAGCAGAGCTCTGTGGGGGAAGGCAGACCATTAGACACCCACCAGGCCTGGCGTAACGCCTTGTCCCAGTCCCCCCCCAGTACCTGAGCTCTTTGCGTCCCAGCACACGGATGTCCTTGCAGCACTGACGCAGCTCCTCCGTGGTGGAACTGTGATTCTCCAGCTCACCGTCCCCCAGTGTGATCTGGACAGAGCAAAGTTAATCAAGCATGTATGTTAAGTCCCTTTCTTTAGTAAGGATCATCAACTTATAAAACACAAGCAGAATGACTGGCTAAACTCCAGGCAGGCTCCTGCCCTGCCTCCCCTCCGCAAGAACAGGAATGGGGCCATTGCTGGGGCACTTGGCCCCTTCTTTTCATCGCTCTGTGCTCCTGGGGATGTCTCACGGGCCACCAAGGTCCCACTCACTTCAGGCACTCACCTCATTGGCCTTGGAGAGGAAGTCAACAGGGTTGGGAGCCTTGAGGAAGTCCATCAGGGTGAAGCGGTGGTAGAGAGTCATGTCGCCATCTGCGTACCCTTCTGCCTACAGGAAGAAGGAGCTGTAGGAGTCGTAGCAGGGCACAAAAGCAGCTTCAACCATCCTTAAAGCATGAATGATGTCACATAACTTGCGTCTTGCTGCAGTGTCCACCTAAACGTGCCCACATGACTTAGGACAAGGGCAGGCTACCAGCTCCAACCCGCCAGCTCCACTGCATCTCCCAGTACCACCTCAGACACAGACAGATGACAGTGATACAGGTTTGTGAAGCTCCATGCCCAGCTGAGGCTACCTGACGTGGCCTTTAGCGTCTTGCGTCCTAAAGACACTTCACAAAGACACAAACCCAGCATCCAACTATTGTAGGAGGGTTTTAGTGATCCATCCTCAGCCTCACAACTTGTTCACCGCTTCCACATCACTACACTGCTTTCTAAGGCTGTAAACCTCCCCAAAACTGGCTCTTCCACCACTTTGCGTTCCCATATCTTTTATTTTCCTGAGAGACTTTGCTTATTATAATCTCTTCGACTCCAGTCCTCAGCATCTTTAGTGTGTGTTTCGCCTGGCTGCCCAGTGAAGCAAGCTCATACCTTTGGCTTCTTTTTGCTGACCAGCTCACTAACAGACTTAGTCTGAACCTCCACCTCCTTGAAGGCATATTTTGGGTCAAAGAACTTGCTGTCAATTTTGTCCGGAGCCTGATACCCTGGGATGGAGGAATCAGAGCTATCAGTAGGTGAAAAGCCAGCCCCATCCCAGCAGCTGCAGGTCCTCCCAGCCGCTCACCCTGGCACACCACGAAGATCTCAGCGGACTCGTTGCGAGAGGCTTGGGGCTTGGTCGCCTGGACCTTGTGGAAGAACTGCTGGAAGATCCAGAGGAGTGGCTGGTAGTCCCGGGAACGAAAAACCTTAGTGATGAACCAGCCTCCCTTGCAGAGGAATTCGCAGGCCAGTTTCAGGGCCATAAGGGTCAAGTTGGCTGGAGCAGGGAAGAAGAGCAGTCAGCAGTCGTCACTGTCCCCACCGCCCAGCTCCTTGTCCCACACCACACACCACTGCCACCCTGCCCTGCCGGGGTACGAGATGTGCCTGCCCTTGCACCCCCCAGACCGTGCCAGGCCACATGCCAGCCCCGGGCAGGCCTCACCTTGGGAGTAGGCGTCATGCACCCAGCTGGCTCCCACGTTGGGCGCTCCGTCATTCAGCACCACGTCCACCTTCCACGTCTGCAGCTCCTTGCGCAGGGCCTGAGGGATGGGGACATGTGTTTGTCCCACTAACCCCTCTGCAAGAGCCAACAGGCAGCAGCCCCCGCCCCTGTCAGCTCAGCTCAGCCCCCTGCCTCTGTCCTACCCCATAGTGAACCCCAGCTAAGCAGGTGGGGTGATGCCCCCTCCCATCGCAGATGGACCTGCTGAGACCCAGACTGGCATGTGATGCTTGGGGCAGGGGAGACAGGTTTGTACCTGGCGGCACTTTTCAGTGGTGATGTCCTCCTGCAGCGTCACCACGTTGGGAATGGGCTTGATGGGGACCAAGTCCACCCCTGGTGTAAGGAAGAAATATGAACACTGCAACCTCTCAAAACTGGGCTCCAGCCCATCCCATGCGGCTTCCCCACCCGCCCTCTCCTCCCACCAGGATCCCCAACCCAGGATCCCCTTTCTATGGCCACATCCAGCGACTGTGGTGGATGTCCCTGCCCCCAGTCCGCTCCTGCTGGGTCCCATCACTCACCAATGATCAAGCTGGAAACTGGCATGAATTTGGAAGCCACCTGCAGCCTGGAAAGAACAGAGAGGAATGAAGCTACGTTAGGATCCTAGAATAGCCCCCAGCCTTGAGCCATGCTGCCAGGGGTTTGGAATCAGCTCTGCCATTGAGGACAGAGATACAACAACAGAAAACACACAAGCCACTTCATTACAGTGCCCCAGGGTAGCTGTTAACACTGGGCTGTGACGTGGGGCCCTGACACCACTCACCACCCGCCGGGGGCCGCACATAGGTCCAGCAGCGCCCGGGCCTTCTGCAGGAACTGGAACTTCCTATTGAGCTGGAGAAGCTTGAAGGAGGAGCGGGAGCGAAAGCCTGTGGGAGGGAGAACCATGGGTTACGGATTACCGGGGCTACAGCTCCCCCCCCCGCCCCACAGCGAGCAGGTAGGTCCCTCACCCGTCTCCTTGGCCAGGTGGTAGAACTTGTCCCTCCGGCTCTTGCCCAATTTGCTTTTCTTGCCCATGGTGGCGGCGGGGATGCCCCCCGGTGGGGTCGGGACCTGCTGTCAGCCGCCGGCACGGACCTGAGGGAAACAGAGGGGGTGAGCTCGGGGAGGAGGGGAGGGGAGAGACGGCCTGGTGTCCCCCGTGACCTCCCCAGGCGAACCCCAGCGTCCCCTCAGCGTTCCCCCGCTGCCCCAGCCCACCCCAGCCCCCGCGTCCCCCCCCCCGCCCCCCCCCCCCCCC